GGCCTCCTTCCGGTGAATCCGAGCCAGTGGATCAACCCCCTTTCTTCTATCTCGTCGTTCCGGTGTACTCCCTCCCTCTTGAATCGTCGGGTCGTGCTCCCGGTGAAGCCGCCGCCGTCCGCCATCCGTCTCGGCCGGCCTCCTTCTTCCTCCTCTCGCCGGCCCGCGTGGCTGCCACGAAGGCGCCACGTCGGCGCCACATCGGCCGCGACCGGGTCAAGCACCTAGTCAGCCGCCCCCACCGCCCTTTCTTCTGTGCGCGCGGTCCACGGAGAGCCCTTAGGCTGCGCATGGGCCCTCCACCTCTTGGTCCACCCGCGTGCCGCGCCGTGAGCCGCGTCCGCAAAACCCTAGCGCCCCGCGCCGCATGAACCCTTCCACCGTGCGCCGAGTCGCTGACTCGTGGGCCCGTCCCGGGACCCGGCATGATGGATCCGGTCCACCCGGACCCATCCCCCTCTCTCCTCCCGCGCGCCCCGCCCGCTTGGGCCGCGCCTTGCCCGGCCATGGGCCGCCTCCTCGTGCCCGCACCCGGCCCATTGGCTCGGCCGCGCCGCGCTTATCCCTTGGGCCGTACCCGAGCCGCCCAAGGAAGTCTAAATCCGATCCATCCTTCCTTTTCTTTTCCAAGGAAATTAATAATTCCTTTTCCTTTAGACAGAAAATCAAATAATCTTTAGAAAATCCATATCTTCTCAACCGCTCACCCGATTGCCTCCATTCAACTTCCAATAATTCCGTAAAATTGAGATCTATATAATGGCACTACTAATTAGTCTAAATAGGATCTTTCTTTTGGTCTTTTGTTTAGGCTTTCGATTGTTTGCATATAGTTGCGGTTACCGGATTTTCGTCAATCGCGGGATTTCTTGAAGATTCGTGAAGCACAGTGAAGACCTTGAGCAAGGCAAGTCACCCTTTGACCAATTGCTCCTATAATTGGAAAATCATTATTATTTTGTTTGCAACTTGCATTAGTAGAATCACACACTTAACTTGCTTGGCCTCGGTTTGCGTGCCAAACCGACGGACCTACCCAGTAGTCGCACTAATTCCTGTAGGTTGTTCTACCCTGATTCCTTGTCGTTCCACCTTTGTGGTACTTCGGTATCCGTGTTCTCTGAGCGCGTATACCAACTATTCCACATACACCGTTGTTTGTCGATAATTTGGGAAATGGGTTTGAGAAGCCTTGAAAACCCGACATGTAGCGTCGGTGTGTTTGAAAACAAAATGGATTGTGAAAACTTGCGATGCTGGGGTTGTGCCTATGTGGTACTGTCCTGTATTCACATATAAGGACCGATTCCTGTGGGAAATTCATCCGAGCATATAATAAGTGCGACCACACGGGTGCAATGGGACGCCCCTGGCTGAGTAATTAGCTAATCGGGGGAGCCATGATGCCAAGAGACATGTGGATTCAACGGGGTGGTGTCGGGGAGAACCCTCGGGCTTCCTGGCACAGTATGGTCTGGGACCTAACCTGGTGTTGGTCTGGGACCCCTCTCGTTGGCATATGGTAAACCTGTGTCGGCTTTCGAAATGCCTTGTCATGAAAGCCTTAAGGTCTCCCGACGTGGCTGATCTCACGGGCTGGGTGATCCGGGTTAGTAATGTCGTGTGGGTAAAGTGTACCCCCTCTGCAGAGGTTAACTAACTATTCGAACAGCCGTGCCCGCGGTCATGGGCGTATGTGAGGTGTTTCCTGTAGCGTAGATTTGTTTGCCTGTGCTTTGTGAAAAGTTGTTATGGTGTGGGAATCGTTACCAGAATCAGCCTATGTGGTAGATGGATGACCTGAGTGGTCAAGAAATGAATCTGTGTGATTCGGGATGTCTACCGGCATCATAGACTAGGCTTCCCGAGTGGAAGCGGATTGTTGTGCTGCTGGGCAGCTGGACTCTAGGAGTTCGAGAAAATGAAAAAGGCTCTGGGAGCCGATTAATCAAGTGGAATGGCTCTGGGAGCCGAGAAGTAATGATCTGACCCAGGAGGTCGGTACATTACCAAATGAGCTGTTAAAAAACATCTCTTAAGGTCGAATCGAGACGCAAGTCTCTTTTCGAGCCAAACTTAGAAAGAAATAAATCACTTAGTGATTTCAAAATGATTTCAAAACAAAAGATTTGCAAAAACAACCTTGCCTCTCTTCCAAGCTTACATTAAACACCTAAATTCCTGTGACTTGCTGAGTACAAAAGTACTCACCCTTGCTCTATATAAATATATATAGTTCCTCCGCCCGGAAGTTGAAGATGAAGTAAAGTGAAGATTAGGGTTTCGTCCTGGTTCCCAGCCATCGCCTGTGGTGTTGGGTGTTAGTCCGTTGGTTCCGCTGCTGCCGCTGTTGTTGGTGTTTCCTCGTCCGCGTCATCGGTTGCAATCTCGGGCTGTTCTGAGCTGCAACCTAAGTTAAGATAAATAAGTCCTCTATTTATTTTAAGGATTGTAATGATTCATATTTGTCACCGTGGGTACCAGCGCTATGTCCTGGGACTGGTATTGAGATCGCGGTTTCGTAGGAAGCGGTTCTCGCCGTTTTTCTCACGACACGCTCCTGTCAGGTGCCGTTGTACGGCGGTGCCAGATTAGGGTGTGACACTTTATATATGTTTGTAGGACATATCTCGAAGATTAAATTATGTTTCCATGGTACAACGTTAGTACTGTGTATTCCCTCTGTTTAATTTTAAAAGTGTGATGTTGATTTTGGACACAAAGTATTACCCTTTTTGTTATGTTTCTCACAGTAGTTAAGCGGTTGGTTGGCGAGCCTATATAGATCGGTTTCTTCGACCTGTTCAAGATCGAGTCCATTTAGGTAGTGTTTTTTTTCTATAACAAGTACTTCCTCCGTTTTACAATGCAAGTCATTTTAGTATTTTTCATATTTATATTCATGTTAATGAATTTAGACACATATATATCTATCTAGATTCATTAACATCAATATAAATGTGGAAAATGCTAAAATAACTTACATTATGAAACGGAGGGTGTAATACCAAGTTATTTCTAAGATAATGACTAGTGATACTAACTGAATACACATAGACATTTTGCAAACACTAACAGAGATAGCATAAGGGCCAAGCTGAATCGATCCTCTCCTAATTAACTAGGTCTGTCAGTTTTGTCCACAATGACAGTTTAGCATGTGGTGTGTGGCATCTGATCGATCAGTCCTCGAACAGGATGCCGCTCTAAGTTCACCTTGGCCCATAATTCATCGGAGAGAGCCTGGGCTTCTTCCAGCTCGGCGAAGTAGGTGTCATCGACCATGTTGTCCTGCCTAGCTAGGACCTCCACGCCGCGGCGTCGGAGTCAGGGTTCATCTATCAGTTGAGGCGTTTAGACGTTTGTATTAGGGGGTCACTGAAATTCTGAAATTTCAGTCCAAAATTTAGAGTAAATTTTAGTTGAATTTAGTAAAAATAATATCGTATTGAAAAATTAAAAAATTTCGGTCCGAAATTTCCAACCTGGTCAGAGTCGGATTCGATGTCGTTGTGTGTCCGAGTCGGAGACAGCAGGTAGCCTAGCTTTGACGTTGGCCGGAAAATAATGTGTCACGCTTCAGTGGTTTTGCCTCAACGACCAATCTCGCCGCACTTAATTACGAACCTCATGAGTTTCTGTAGTTGATAGGCACGGAACAAACAAATGGTGCCTATAACGCGTGCGCACTTATTCGGATGAACACTTATTTTGAAATGAAGGATAGAAAAAAAAGATAAATAAGAAAAATACACAAGATTTAGAAAGAAATATAACTGCATAACACATAAAAAATGCTAAAAGGAAAAAAAACATCTGAATAGACCGTTGGAAAAATATAGGAAGCAAATGGGAGGAGAAACTTTAGAAAAACAATCTAAGAGATTAGAGCTTTTCCTAGAAATTTTCCACAAATGATTTAAAATCCTCTAAGAATCCTATGTTTTTTCTACCAATCAAAGGTAGCCTAACAAAAGTACTTGTAAAAATCTACCAATATGGTTTTTTTTCAAGCTAAATATTTGAGAATTATTAGTGATCAAGGTTTCAAAATTTTGCATGCATAATATTTAATAATGCAATATATTTAAGGAATTTTGCTATGTATCACTAGTGTATTTTTTTTGGTACGCACTCGAAATTGTGATAATGATAGAGGTGATGACAACAATGAAATCTAACATAATGATAAAGGTTTCCTTTGAAACCTTGATTGATAGTCATTTCTTACTAAATGATAGGATCACAGTTCACAAGTTAACAACACTGGATAAATCACTCGCAACTCACCAGCTTGTGACACTGAATTTAAATATACTAGCCAAGAGGCCATGCTTTGCAACAAAAAACAAATTGAGTTTATAGCTTATTAACTCAATCAAGCACGTATTTAGTGCAAGCAGTACTTTTACTATTTTTCTTGTTAAACAAGTAGGCGATTTTAAGATTTTAGAGAGATCTAGCAATGAAACAGGAGAGAACTCATTGGAGGATGGTGTAATAATATAGATTGTGGGATCTAAATATCAGTGGTAGGGATGGTGTGGTAAAATGGATACCACTACTTAGTAAGACTAATGAAAAGAATTAATCTCATGTCTAATTAATGGCAGCAACTAATCTACTCCTAACTGCAATGACAGATTTCTTCAGTTCGTGAAGAATAAAAAAAATGAAAAACCACAAGTTTGATCAAGATTTGAACTAATCCACTCCTAATTGCTGTAAAGAAAATGAAAATTTTCATCAAGGTTTGAACTAATTAATCTTGATGAACATTTGTTCAATTTGTTGAAAAATGAAAACAATTGCAATGGATTGAAACATTTTAAAAATGAAAAATTAAAAAAATTAAAAATTATGTCTGAGCCCAGGTTCGAACTGGGGACCTTTAGTGTGTGAGACTAACGTGATAACCAACTACACCACCCAGACAATTCGTTCTAGATATTTCAACACAAATAATTAATAGTAACTTGATCTGCCTGTTTTAAAATGGGCCAGTATTTGTCTAATTGGAACAATTCCACAACAACTCTTTACAAATTATCCAGAACATATTTTTAATTGTTTTTATATAGACCAGAATACCCATCTCCTACAACTCAACTGTACTGATCAGACCAAATCATATAGCACAAAATTGAAATTACTACTGCAAAATAATTAGAGATAAAAAAAAGGGAAATAGCGATGGAGCTCACCGCCATGACCTCAGGCACCACAACGATGAGCTTGCCGCCGCTACCGGACATGCCATCTCCGTGGCCTTGCCACCGCCACGACGAGCTCAACACCGATGTTGAATTTGCTCGCGCTGTGTCTTCTGACCCGCCATCTCTAAGACCTCGCCCTCAATGATCGATGTGACCGCCGCTCCTCTATTGTTTACTCCACCGCTCATGCTGCTGCTCTCACCATTATCGATGCTGCTTGTACGCCGCGGACGTGACCACCATCGCCGCCCATGGTTGCTCGCTCCACCACCGTCCCCACCGCTACTTGCTTTACCACAGTCAACGCCCATTTCCCAACTGGATGCAGTTGACGCGACCGTCGCTACTCTTTCCATCCCAACCCCTGTTGCTGCTCCGTCTACCGCTGCCACCCCTACCACGCTCTCCGCCGCTGACACGCCGATATCCATCTTACGCTGACGCCCTACGAGTAGACAAGGATATTTTGGTTCATATATGTTTCAGGTGTATAGCATAGCATGTTTCGATTTTAACATATTTACAGTGGCATCGTTCCAATTAAACGAATTGCAGTGACATTTTCTAAAGTTATAATCGCATGATCCAATTAACCCAATAATTAATCTTGTTTTACTAGTAAATTATAGTCGCTGTTCGCAACTGCTTAGCCATTCCATTCCGCCGCCACCACGAGACGGCGAATCCCCAATCCCCCGGTCGCCGCCGCCGTCGCCGCCGCCATGGAGAAAAAGAAAGAGAAACCCAACCGCAAACGCCGCAAACCTCGGCAAGACCCCTCCCCGGACTCCGGCCCCGGCCCCGACTCCGACTGCTCGCCGCCGTCCTCCCCGACCTCCCTGCGCCGCCTCCTCGACCCCTACTCCAAGCCCCGCCTCCTCGCGCTCCTCTCGGACGCCGCCGCCACCGCCGGAGCGGGAGCCGACGACGACCCCACGCTGCTGGCCCGCATCCGCGCCGCCGCCGACGCGTCCCCCTCCCACCGCAGGCTGTTCGTCCACGGCCTGCCACCGCACGCCGACGCCCCCGCGCTCGCCGCGGCGTTCTCCCGCTTCGGCCCCCTCGCCGAGTGCGACGTCGTCGCGCGGCGCGCCACGGGGGCGTGCAAGGGGTTCGGCTTCGTCACGTTCCAGTCCCGCGCCGCCGCCCGCCGCGCGCTCCGCGAGGTGGGCCGCGGCGGCGTCGCCGTCGCCGGCCGCGCCGTCTCCGCCCAGTACGCCACCGCCGGCGCCGCGGCGGCGGCGTCGGCGGCGGGGAGGCGGGTGTACGTGACGAACGTCGCGCCGGGCGCGAGCGCGGAGCGGCTGCGCGCCTTCTTCGCGGGGTTCGGGGAGCTCGAGGGCGGGCCGTTCGGCTTCGACGCCGACACGGGCTCCTCCCGCGGCTGCGCCCTCTTCGTGTACCGCGCGGCGGAGGACGCCAGGAGGGCGCTCGAGGAGCCGTACCGCGTCTTCGAGGGGCGCACGCTGCACTGCCAGCTCGCCGCCGACCCCGCCCGGAAGAGCAAACCACGCGCGCCGCCGCCGCCACCACCTGCCCCGGCTGCCGTGGCGTCACCGCTGCCGGCGCTGCAGCCGGTTCTTGACGCCGTCGTGGCGTCCGGCGTCGGGGACCTTGCAAAGTACGCGCAGAACCCGGCACAGGCCGCGGCATTGCTCGGGAAGAACCCGATTCTTGCAGCTGCTGTGCTGAATTCTGCATTGGCATCCACTACAGCTGCGCTGAAGCCGAACCCAGCAGCTGCATCATCCATAAATCCGGCTGCTGTTGTTGCCCGCAGTAGTCCGGTGGCTGCACCTGCAATGAAGCCATTGGCACCTCGGAGTCCAGCAGCTGCTGCAGCAGCGGTGGTGCCATCTCCGGTGAAGATTGCTGCTGGAATAAGCGGCGGTGCAGGATTGCTTGGGCCATACAAGCCACCGTCCTCGCCAATGTTGGCTTCCTCCATTGGACAAAGGGATCAGTGCTGAGCCTGTGAACCTCGCTTCTGGGTGTTCAACATGGTACCAAATCGGTTTGCTTGCCCAAGCCCTATGGCTTGAGTCATTTTTGTGCTGATGATAGTGGAATGCTGCATACATAGCTTAGTTCAACTTAGGAATTTTGACCTCTTAAACCCTAGATTGAACCATTGACATGGTGGGATATCTTCCTTTCCAAAAATGATGCCTTTTTGTAATAATCATACTAGTAGGTGGTAGCTACATTGGGTCAGTTACATGGTTGGATATTTTCGTAATGCTTAACGATGCTATAGCCAACTTAGGAAAAAATATTCATGTGGTCCATATTTGCCTAGATTTTAGCTATTCTTGGTATTCAACACTGTTTTACACTTCCCTGGCTAATATGTTGAAGTAATAAGAATGTGTTTTTCATGTGAGACCTAAATTGGTTAATTTTCCAAATCATCTTTTGTTGATACAAGAATAGATTACTTGTTTTTTTTTCCAGATACACCTGTCTTGTTTAGCCAAGTAACTCTACACTACTGTTAATACATATCCTCAAGCTTAGCTGAAGTTCTGAATTCTGACCAGATCAAGCTAGCAAAGTAGAGTAGTAGAGTACGGAGTACCTTTAATTCTGTCATAGTGCAGATCATTAAAAACTTTCTTGCACATCTTGATTAACCTCCAAAACTACAGCTTTGGTTAGAACTTGAATATGGGTGTTGATATCTGATTTTGGATGGCAGTAAGATGACATTTGTTAGGATGTGTTTGCCCATGTTATGGGAATGAAAAACAAAATGCATTAGGCACTGTGGCCTGGAACATCAGATATATAGCAAAGATCTAGTTTCAAGTCTTATATTAATCAGATTGGAATCATGATGAACCTTCTACTGAGATAATTCACTATTCAGCTTAGTGTTGGTTGTATTTATAGTTGGTTTACCTTATGCTCAATGACACTTGAATTTGCTGCTTGATGTGATTTATGTCCGAGAACCATTCCAGACCACAGATTTATGCAAGCTTGACTGAATCCTGTATTTGGATACTGATGTGCAGGTATGGACCAATGGAGTATGGGAGCAGCAAATCTACGTCACACTCAGAGGCTTAAGTTGTTGCATTTATGCCTCAAACCCTCTAGGATGCTTGTCAGTAGATGCCTCTGTCTTTGGCTCTTTGCTAACCTGAACCATAGATGCAAATACAGTTCATGAAGCATCCATGTGATCCTCTGATCCTCTCTTCAACTTTCGGAATTTTGTACAGTGTTCCGTACTATCTTGACGAAACACATTCTAAGGAGGTTATGTTCTTATTCATTAGATTTTAGCAGTTCTGTTCTTCAGGGTTACTTGTAACCATTTTGTGTTAACATGTTCTCCGCTCCAACTGAATCTAACCTACTTTGTGCAGCTGTCTTGGTTTCTCATTTGTTTAGCTATTGCTGGATGTTATCTTGAGAAAACAACACTAAATCAATGAACATGCTTTTTTAAAATGTTAATAAGCAATCAAGAGATGATATAGACTGCAGTTAGTGTTCAATTCCCAAGTAGCCATCTGAGTAGAGGATCTAACAGGAGATCATCCTTGGACCTGAACTATTTTTTCCCGTTGGAAATTCAATCCCAGTTTATTGGCTTGTATTCACCTGACCTGTTAGCACTCCAAATATGTTTTGGGATATTTGGGCATTTGCATTTGCCGTGCTCTTATTGCGATGTATAGCTACACCTTGCCATGAAAGGGTACAAATTTTAGCTCCTTTTTCAGGGAAAAAAGGAAAATCTTTGTTGTGCCAATCTTCCTTGCCATGTAACAGGAGTAATCGTTAATTCACAGGGTTTTCTGTGTTTCTGATTTTCGGTTGTATATGACAATATGTAGCTGCACGGTAGTTCATCATTGAAAACTTCTCCAACAGCATAAATAGGGCTTCCTGTAGTTCATTCATGTGATTCTTAGGATAGACAAAAACAGAGCATTTTGATCTGCTTCCTTTATCTTCAGTATAACCAATCAGTATAGGTTTTACACCATGATATAATTGCCCAGCTGCAGTAACTTTTTACAATGTGTGGTTCCTCCGTATGGGTGAAAGCTGGAAGAACATGAATTGGTATTGCTACTTGATACAAAATAAAGCATGCCTCCATCAGAAACTGCCTGCATTATGTACAAGGTCATGTATCATTTCCTGCTTTAGTTACAGCATTTGGTCCTCCTATGATGCTACTGCTAGGATTACTTCCTTTCTGATGTATGTACACCAGTTGCTAGTGATATATGGAGTATAATAGCATTACAGCAGGCCATGCGCCTGCCTTGTCACTGGTGTCGCAAATGAGGTGTATGGCACCGTGGATGATACCATGAATCAGGATTCTCACTTCCACCTCTTCGCGTTTTTCAGCGATTTCGATTTTTGCTTGCTTTGCTGGAATGCCTGCATCTTCTGCTTCTTTCTGGCAATTTTCTCTGCCTGTATTACAGTTAGAAAAAAGAACTGTCAGTTATAGAAGCTAAACCCAATTAATTGTAGTTCGCATCCAAATTCACATCGTGAAAAGACAGTAGAGATATTCACCTTTGACATTTTTGACTTGGCCTTTACTTTGGGGGCTTTCTCCTCGAGCTCTTCCTCACGTGCAAGTTCCCTCTCTCTGGCCTCAAGATTCCTTTCAAGGTAATACTGCAAACACAAAGAAGAAAATAACATCATTTCTGGGTGTTCCAGTATTTTTCAGTGTTCCGGCACCCTAATATGAAAAATTCAGACTCCCCTCTGTTTTTTGTGATGCCTCTGGCCCTCTGTAGGATTTATATCTTGATTTCTACCATTAGTATTGCTGAAGTTACTGGGATAATTATGATCTATATCTTGGTGGCCTGAATCTATATCTTTTACTGAGCACTAGTTTGGCACGTGATGAGGTAAGAGTTTTTATATAAGATGAAGCATTTAATTCGGATTATGTGGAGAAAACTATAGATTATGTTGCTGCACTATGGGAAACTATTATAATCAAGAAGAGTTAACCATATTTCACTCGAATACAGCAAATACAGGTTGCAAAGTAATATTGAGTAACTTATATCACAGGATAACTCACATTGTAATCTCCTTGATAGTCCTGAATAGTCTGATCTTTCACTTCAATAACTCTGTTAACAATTTGCTTTACGAAATACCGGTCATGAGAAACTGTTATAACAGTGCCTGTGTATTCTGAAATTGCCTCCTGCCATGCACACACAAGCATTTACTGTAAGTACATGCTAAACAAGGAACTGATGGATCATAAGAAAAAAGTTTTGCTATGCAGGAGAACTGCATTACAATTTTTTTAACATACGAGAATTGCATCTAACCTCAAGCATTTCTTTCGATGGAATATCAAGGTGATTTGTTGGTTCATCCAATATCAATAAAGTAGATGGAGTCACCAAGAACTTGCAGAAGGCAAGCCTCGCCTGGGGAAATAACAGATAAATTGTGAGTAAATATACAGTAACACTACATCATACAAATAAAAGAAATTCACTGGCAAACGTATATTACCTTCTCTCCACCACTTAAGAATTGAACCTTTCTATCCAACATATCATCCCTAAAATTGCAACGACCAAGGAGACCTTTGATATCATCAATTTTCCAATCCTCTGCTGCTTCTGCTACAGTATCCAGCACAGTTTTCTCCAAATCAAGTGCTTCAGCCTGGTAAAGATCATGTACATGAATCTAGTCAGGAAAAAAATATTTTTTTACTACTGAAATAATGAAAGGTTGATGATGCGCTGCAATTAATCAATAGGCTTACAACCACTTGACCTGATAGCTTAATCAAACAGTGAAAATCAAATATATACTACTGTACAGTATTACTGTCATGATGAAACCATAGTGAAAGAAAGGATATCCATTTCAGGGATTTGGTGTACCTGATTTTGCTCGAAATAATTAGGCAATACATTATGCTCCCCAAGAAGTACTTCGCCTCCTTGTGTCTTCTCCATCCCCAAAATAAGCTTAAGTAAAGTGCTTTTCCCACATCCATTGGGGCCAATTATGGCTATCTTTTCACCTCTCTCAACTATTAGATTTGCATTATTGAACAATTTCTGGAGATGATACCAAAGGAGGAATTAAGAGCATTAATACAAATAGTTGGGGTACGGTTAATCAAAAAGAAATTGACTCTGAAACAGTTTCCAATAGAATGAACCTAACCTCTTCCCCAAATCCAAATTCGAGATTCCTTATTGTCAATACAGTTCTACCGCTTTGCCCACGCTCTGGAAATCTGATCTTCAACTGCTTCCTTTGGAAAGGCTTCTCAATCAATCCTTCCTTTTCAAGCTTTTCCAATTTCTAGTGTTTGAAATTAGACAAAAGTTATTAGTAAGTAATGACAGATGGCTGAAATAAGAGATAGATTGTATTGATCTGAAGCATGCCGCAATCATGCAATTGTAGTGGTTACCTTCTGCTCACTCGATGCACGCCCTGCGTTAACTCCAGCCCCAAGTCTGTTTATCAGTTCCTTTGTCTGCTCAATCTCCTTCTGCTGCTTCTCCCATGCGGCATATTGAGTCTCCACCCAAATCGCCTTCGCCAAAACGTATTCCGAATAGTTTCCCTTGTACGTTTTGGACACGCCGAATTCAGTTTCCACTATCTTGGTACACAACTGATCCAGGAAAGCCCTGTCATGAGAAATGATGACCATCGGCACTTCCTGCGTCTTGAGGTAACTCTCCAGCCACTCAATGGTGTCCAAATCGACGTGATTGGTCGGCTCATCGAGCAGCAGCAAATCGGGATCCTGCACACAATCAATTTCAGCATTGGAAATGCACACAGACACTAAAAACTACAATTCAAATTCAACAATCCAGACCAAATTCATCACCAATTGGCCATAATACCACTCATTTTTCTCTCCATCACAATATGACAACCATTGATTGCTACATGTAGAGCTCAAATTTTCTTTTTTATCTGTACCTGAAGAAGAATCTTGCCGAGGGACATCCTCATCTGCCACCCACCACTGAAGGAGGCGACGAGGCGGTCGGCGTCCTCGGGAGCGAACCCGAGCTCGGGCATGAGCTTCTGGATCTTGACCTCGACCATCCCGAGGTCGACGTCCTGCGACCGCCGCTGCAGCAGGTCGAGCTCGTCGAGGAGGCGCCCCATGAGGTCCATGTCCTCGGTGGCGCCCTCCAGCGCGGCCTGCACCTTCTCCAGGCGGGACCTCACCTCCATCTCCTCCTCGAACGCGGCGAGGAACTCCTCCCTGACGGTGCGCGACGCGCACACCTCGAACTCCTGGCTGAGGAAGGCGATCCTCATGTTGTCCTTGGCCTTGACGACGGCGCCGGCGTCGGGGTCCTCGAGGCCGGCGATGATGCGGAGCTGGGTCGTCTTGCCGGCGCCGTTGACGCCGACGAGTCCGACCTTCTCGCCGCGCTGCACCTCCCAAGAAACGTCCCTGAGCACGGTCACCCCCTTGTAGGACTTGGCGATGCCCTCCAGCCGCACCCCCGTCGGGATGCTCGACGCGCCGCTGCTGCTATTCGACCGCTTCTTCTTCGAGGAGGAGGGCTCGTCGGAGGTGGAGGTGGAGAGGAGGGAGGAGAGGTCGTCGGCGGCGGACTGCTCTTCTTGGGTGGTGGTGGTGGTGGTGGAGGAGGTGAGGCGGCAGTGGATGGGGGCGTGGCGGCGGAGGCGGCGGGAGGAGGGGGAGGGGAGGGAAGGGGAGGGGGGGAGGCGGAGGGAGGAGCGGAGGAGCTTGGAGGAGAGGAGCTCCATGGGTGGCGCCGCCATGGATGGAGCTCCTCGCGCGCGAGAGGTTGGGTTGGGGGAAGAGGGGTTTGGGTGGAGGAGGGAGTGGCCACACCACACAAAAATAAAAGCCCAAATGGGAGGGAGGGAAGGGGAGTGTATGGGTGAGAGAAATAAAGAGATTGATGGAGTTTTTTAATAGTTTTTTCTTTTGAAAAAGTTTTATCAAAAACAATTTTTGGGCGATTTTTTTAGAGGAGGGAAAGACTTAACAGTCTCATTATTTTGCTTATGCTTATACTTATAAGCTAAAATTTAGGTGAGAGAGGAAGAGATCATGGATGGAGTTTTAGCAGTTTATGAAAAAAAAAGAAAAAGTTTTATCAAAAACAAAATTTTGGGTGGGTTTTTCTGTTGGGAGGGGAGGTGAGAGAAGGGTTATTTTTTTTTCACCTTAGAAAAGAACCTTTTTACTTTCTTTTATGTTGATTTTATTCACATATGCCACTTTTGTTTTGTAGTGGGAAGTCATATTCTTATTTGTGGTAGATAGGAGAAAATTGGAGAAATGGTTTATATTTTTTGCGGTTTGTTTCGTGTCTGAATATTATATGACGCATAGAAAAGTTCTCCAAACCAATTGATCTTTTTTTACGTGGGCTGGACACCCAACGTGTAATTGTTACTTATCGATTTTTTTTTCTCCCATTTTATTGTTCGAGCACTTGTGCTATTGAAATAACGTACGACAAGAGGGATTTCTCCACGTAATTTTGTACATGCTAGTTAAACTGGATGGGTTATACAACTCATAGCTTCTATTTCTTATATATATGCAATTATGCATACAAGTGTTGATATCAATCAATAATGTTATAATTTGGTCCAACCACACCCTAATGGTATGGAAATGGTTTTTTATTAATATGGTAATTTCTATGTCATCGGACAGAACGTGATGTCATGTTTTTAAGCTATCTTTATCTTTACAATATAATACAGAGTAATAAAATAGATTGTACATCTATTCCCTGTTTCTATTTTTCATGGATCAATGTTATTTCTAAGCTATTTGTGATGAAGTTCTTAATATCATACAAAAGAATAGTAGCACGATTTTTTAAAGGATAAGTTGGTGTTACATTTAATCTTAAAAGGGCATTGTAGATATACACATATCTGTATGCTTTGGTCCCAATAGAGATGATTTGATGTTTAACACAAGTTAAAGTAACGCTTTGCATCATGTCGATGTCTATGTGTATGTTTCAGTGCTAATCAAATAAAAACTTTGTTATCCTAAAAGGAAGCTGAAGAAAAATATCTCAATAAAACCACCATATCAAGTTGAATTCCACTCCTACCTTCTAAACTCATTGTCAACATTTCATCGTGTCAAAACCTAAAACCACATAAACCACTGTACGCAAGCCAACACACTACCACAAATCTCCGACCAATTTTTCTACCGATTTTCATTTGATCACGACACTACTCTCTAGAACAAAAAATGAGCCGTTTTTTCTTGCCTCAAAAGAAAGAAAAACTAATTTTCCAATCATGAACAAAAAATTGGACGTGGAAGTGTGGAACCATAAGGAAAATTTTCTTGTGGCCTAGGCTCAACGGGAGGAAGACGACGACGCCAATTGCCATCGTCAGTTCGTCACCAACCAAGCCGTTGCTGGACCGAGCGTGTGGCCCTCCACGGAATCGTGCGAGCTCACGCGGCCACACACGTGTCACGCGGGGATAAAGCACGCAGCTTTGCCATCCATTGCTACAGGCTACAGCCCTTGCTCCCTGAAATGTTCAGAAAACCATGAGCTTACCCGCACAAAGAGAGAGAGAGAGAGAGCCAGTGGTGGAGTCAGGAATTTAAACCTGTGAGAAAGAGCCAGTGGTTAAGAAATACTGTTCCCAGTAATAAACCTGAAAAAAGGAAGGAGATATTAAGTTTTGATTTGTGGTGTGGCAATGAAAAGTTGAAAACACCAGGGCAAAAGCACAAACATTTTCATTGCCTGAGAACATGCATAGACAGGATTGAGGACAAATCAGAGAGACTATATGGGCTCAAAAGGAAAAAAAATGATGCAAAAGGACCGAGTTGTAAGGAGGTATGGGTATATCTGCAAGGAAAAACTGGACGCAGGGACCAGAACGTGAATTCTAAAATGATGATCATTTGTGGGTATATCCGCAAAGGTAGAGACTGAGGGTGCAATTGACAAGGAAATGTATAAAAAGGACCGAGTTGTAAGAGTTGGAATAGGCGGAGGGGCGTATCTGCAAGGAAAACTATGGGCTCCAGGGACCTGGTTGGAAATCTCAAAAAATTTGGACCATTTCTCGATTTGTGCGTGTCATCCTTGCGCAGGGGCCATGCTAATCTTCTCTGTATCGTTCCAATTTTATCGGATGTCTCCGAAGAGACAACACAAGCGGCAGCGCGCGGGGTTATAAGGTGGGTTCTTCATTGTTCGGTAGGCGAGGTGGTACTAAACCTGTCTCCCCTCAACGCTCCCGCGACCCACCGATCCCCATCCAACGGCCCCCGCAGCGCCCAGCGGCATCCCGCGCGGTAGTACACGCTCGTCGGCCGTATCCTCCGTTACGGCCCAAACAAGCAGAGAGCACACTAGGCTTCTCTCGCCTGCGGCCTCGTAGCTCAAGTCTGAGCCCCATCATCCATCGTGACCATTCATGAATAAAACCGGTTTGTATATGTGCTCCTTTTTTTTTTTGTCCGGCTTAGTTCGTTCTTGCATAACAACTGAGGTTCTAAGTGGCACGAAAAAGGGATAAAACAATTAACACATGATGAATTAATTATTAACTATTATAAACTTGAAAAATATGTTCATTTGAATTTTTAAAGAAAATTATACCGTTTAACAAGTGTCCTAATGAAAAACAAGCAAGTTAAGTTTAGGATTGAAGTAAACTGTAAACTATATGTCTGACCGCTTGCAGAACTACTGATTGACCAGCTTGATTGCGTCCAAAATCAAATGGTAGAGCGAGAGCCGAAGGCAAGCCCAGCTGGTTTAATTAGCAATCGCCTATATAATCAGCTAGCGCAACAACTGTTAGTTAGTTGGTTGTTGATGTTGTGCTTCAAGAAATCAATTAATTAATTAGTCTGTTCTTATTGCTTAGTGTACTACACACTCTTAGCTGGAGCCCTAGCCATGGGAAGAAATTAATTAAATCCCCAGATAAACACATGACCACGAAACTGCATTGCTGTACTAAAGCTCTGAACTAGCTAGCAACGCGTCTTAGATATATTCCACCAAGCAAAAGCCACATCATGCTGTGCTGTGCCGTGCCAAATTAAAACCACATCGTGGCCTTCAAGTTTCTGCTAGCTTCGTCCTTCGTTGCTAATCCCAGCCAGTTAATCAATTAATTCGTCAGATAGATAGATATATATACGCGTTCATCAGCGTACGTTCTTATAGCTAGAACTCATCCTGCTGTGCAAAACCTGCATCACTAGCTAGCTAGCTAGCTCTGAATCCTCTAGTTGTCTGATCTCGATCGATCGATCGACAACTATCTCGTCCACATCAAGAAAGCAAAGTTTTCTTGAGCTACGAATCAATCGATCGATCGATCGCCATGGGCAACAGAAACGAGGTGAGTGAGAAAATCTGAATTGATCATGCAATTTCAGAGCCAAATTGAGGTAGTAGCTTAGCTACATGTGTGTGTGGTTGCATTGCAGCAGCAGGAGGAGGAGCAGCGGCGGGCGAGGGTGCCGGCGTTCGGCGAGTGGGACGAGATGAAGGCCGCCGGCGTGCTGCCGGACTACTCCCTCGACTTCTCCAAGATCCGCGCCGTCCGCATGCAGCGCAAGGAGGGTGGGCCCCTCACCACCTGGTCCTCCACCGCCGCCGGCGGCGTAGAGGTCGGCGGCGAGACGGAGCGGCGCTCATCGTCGGCCGCCGGCGTCGTCGTCGACGGCCGTGATCGCCGCCGCCGCCGCCACCGCCACCGCCGACACAGCAGCGACGGCGGCGCCGACCTCCGCCGGCCGCTCCGGCACGACCGTGCTGCAGCTCCCAAGGTCAGCTAATTAATTAAACTGCTAATTTTCATGCGTTTTGGTGTTCTTCTGATGGTTTACTAAAAAGTGAAGATTCCAAGGTCTGTGTTACTACTACCATGTTAATCATTTTAAGCTGCACGGTTATAACCATATGAACTTATCCGCGATTAAGTGAAATTAATAAGCATGATTCGTTCAACACACTGGTCAATTTGTTTTCTCAACACAAACGTACACTGTAAATGTCAACATGCTGCCCGTTAGTTAAAAATTCAGAATGTTCTTGGGGCAAACTGACGTATGTTAATCCCGCGTTTAAGATATTTTTATGTATATTTGTTTTTTGAGGAAATGTTTATGTATATATTTTACTCTGCTGAAACTGCTGCAAATTGATTAAATGCGACATGCTGCGCACTTCATCGCTCCTTTTAATATTTCTGTCTGAATGTTCTTTGGGACATCTGATTGAACAATGTACTATACTTAAAAAATTCAGAACACACAAGTCGTCGCGCCAGATTGTCATGCTTAATTTGTTGAACTATTATTTGTTTAATTTTGATTCTGACCATTGTTTAGTTTTGATCCTAGCAGGAGAGGAGCAAGCTGGGCTACCTGTTCTGTTGCATTGCTGGATGAAGGGCATTGGCAGAAAAAAAAAATTCAAATGCAAGAAGGCAATTCAAGAAAAAACTTAGTGCTCATACATGTTTAATTTCTCCCTCGTATTTCTGCCATCTCTCACCGATCGATCTGTTGGTGATTTGGTGGATGTTGGTGTTCCATATATAACAGCTCGTTGCATCTGTAATGTTAGGCTGTCTAGGAATTCTTTGCTGTAAAAAAAGAAAATAAATTCTTGGTTAATTTTGATTTTGCCTGGGATGAAAGCCATTGATTTGTAGCCTGTACATTGCACATGTTGTAAATAGTGAAGTCGAGAGTTATTTTCGCAATTTTTAAAATTAAAATGGTTTCTTCCGATCTCTTTGATACCACAGGCGGGCTAAAAATTAGTAGTCGTTTGGATTCTGAAGAATTCATCGGTGCAGTGAACAACAAGCATACTGATCTTATAGGATTCGTAAAGGAAAAGGTGAAATGATTTCAGAAGAGACGAACAAAATGAAACGGAAAGTTAAAAAAATGTCAAATTAGGGGTAATACCAGGGACGATATTGAATAATGTAGGTAGCCAAAAGCTATCTGTAATGGAGGAAAAACGAGAGACTGCAAAGTGGCAAAAGGACCCACCTGTAGAAAAGGGGAATAGGCAAGGGCGTGATGAGAAGATCCCGGGGGCATATATGTAAGGAAAACCATGGTCGTCAGGGACTAACTCGTGAATTCACAAAATTGACCATTTGTGGGTCTGTCTGCAAAGGGAGAGATTGAGGGTGCAACTGAAAAGAAAACGTGGAAAAAGGACCGAATTGTAAGATTCGTAATAGGCGGAGGGGCATATCTGCAACGAAAATACTTGTAACTCAGGGACCTGGATGGAAATCTCAAAAAAATTTGGACCATTTCTCGATTTGTGCGTGTCATCCTTGCGCAGGGGCCATGCTAATCTTCTCTGTATCGTTCCAATTTTATCGGATGTCTCCGAAGAGACAACACAAGCGACAGCGCGCGGGTTTATAAGTTGGTCGCGTTCGAGTTAGCTGGGCAATGTGGTACTAAACTGTTCCTCCCGCCTCTCGCGCTCACACTCGCCCTGTGGGCCGCTCACCGTGCACGTACTTGGGCCTCCCGCTCCCCCGCATGCATCCAGCCCATCACAGCGAAGAGAATCGGGCTTTTCTTCTCCCCATCTCCCTACACAACCACCAAATACAGCCAGGCCGTTGGTTCATGATCCGGCGGCAGATCGACATCTACCTCTTCACGGTCTCACGATGCAAGCGCATCATCGAAACGTGTAAAGCACCCATAATAATACTGATAAATTATTCGCAGTTTCACACCCAGATTACTCCATAAAAATGATCAATAACACATGAATTATGATTTATGCTTGCTTATAATTACATAGTAGATGACAAGGCTTACTCTGAGTAACTCTCTTTTTTTTTTTGGTTTCATTTGCTGAATTAATCTGTGCTACTACAGATGAAGAAGCTAGAGAACATTTTAGGCCGACAGCATATATATTGATGCATTACATGAGTAGGCTACGGATGAGGTCGGGCACATCTGCGCCGTTGATGGCGAGATCGGACGGCTGGAGGAGGAGGAGCTCGGCGAGCCTCTCGCTGAGGGCGTCCGCCTCCCGGTGAAGCCTCCGGATGTAGCGGCACGCCTCCTGCAGCACCTCGGCACTTGACGCCTGCTTTGATTAATCAATCAAATTTTAGCGAGGAATATATATTAATCCCTACATTATAATGGGATATATAAATTGTACTTGCAGATGGGGAAAGGGAAAAACCAATAAAATGATGTGATTATAAACATGCGCATATTACACGTCATGCGTGTGTGTTTACAATAACAATTTAGTGGGATCAGTGAGACATGGAATTGTGGTCTCCAGCTCTTTCAGCGGAATGGTAACACGGGGATATGCTAGTGGGGCTGGCGATAAGCATTGTGTGCGTGTGCATTTTCCGTACAACTGACGAAGGGAAAAAAAAATATAAACACATATATCTACATGTGGATTATCACGTCCTAAAAATTCAATATCCACTAGCCACGTAATGATTAACCTAGTAGCTCAAGCGAGTGAGTTAGTGACAGGCACAATTAATGACGGATATAAACCCAAAAGGGAGGATATTATATATTAATTGCCAATGCAATGCATGCATGTATATGCATGCTTGGTTTGTAACTGATCCTTTCGCAATTCCGACCTTATGGATCATCGATTGCATCGTCTAGCTATGGAGTAATTAAACTAGGGATGGAGATCGAACTCATGTTAATATTTTCCCTTTTCTAACGTAAAATATTCCCGCAATCCCAAATAGATAAACCAGTACATATAATATGATAATATATTCTAATCTACGAATCAAAACCGGTTTAATTTGATCGAGATCGATCAAAGATCACCGTCTTACCTTGGCATTGGCCTCGCCGCCGCGGGTGGGGAGGACGGCCTGCAGCTTCGAGATGAGCTCCGCCATCTGCTCATCCGTCGGCGGCGGCGCCGCCGCCAATCTCGACGATGTACGGCTCCGCCGGCTCGACGACATTGCTAATCGAGAGAGAGAGAGAGCTTGAGCTTGTGAGCCTAGCTAGGCAAAGCTACAGTCAAAGGAGAGGATCGATCGATGAGCAGTACTAGTACATGGGCAGTCCAGTCCATATATAAGAAGAGCACGTACGTTGTGCATGCGTACACGTTGCGTTGGGGACAAGCTCACATACGGTGATAGAGACATGCATGGGGACATGCATGCATGTTGGTAGCTAGCAACAATAAATAATAATATTAGCCATGTCAGTCTCACACGGTTAAAGTGTTAGTCAGGACATGTTTAGTATAACTCCAGCTTCTAAATTTAGCTTCAGGAGTTGGGTCTAGAGTAGAATTGTGGAGCGGCCTAAATCAGCTCCACCTCTCTAGTTCATTTTGTAAGAGCGCTCCACCCAGCTCCGGGGCTGAAACTGTTTGGCTGAACTCCGGCTCCAGAAGAGGTGGAGCTGGAGCTATGCCAAACAGTCTCTTATAGTATAGTTTAAGGATAAAGATATCTTGTGGTTGTAGCCCGTTGTAATTAAAATGATCGATATCCGTTATCATGTCTTTTTTTTTCTTTTCTAATATTTGTATGATGTGTAAATTCAGCTATATTTGCAGACGTCCAAAATAGCCTTGGATTAATTGTACCATTTTAGTTCAACGGTATGAGATCAATAAAGTTTCTTTTATCAAAAAAGGTGTTAGTCTCTAAGAGATTGAGCTAGCCATGTTACATGCCTAACTGGGAGCTGCTACAATAAGTACACGTAGCTAGCCAGTGCATATATGCATATACATGTGTGTCGTTATGTACATAAAGTTGTGAGAAGTGAAGAAAGCAATGCCAGCTTCAGCTTCAGTTGGCACTGTACTGATCCAGTGGACCAGTGGACGGACAACTGGTGCACTTATGATGTTGGATCGATCAATCGGCAATTGTGTGGGGCCAAAGGCAGAATGTGTCATAAGTTCTTTAATTTATTTTTAATTATTTCCCCAAGTTTAACAAAATAATTAATTCTCAGTTGAATGATATATGAAGATACTCCATTTTTTTCCCATATGGAAAATGGCATGTTTAAACGATGTCATTTGATTTGCATGTATATATAGGTATATATGATGCTCATGCAAAGAACAAAAGGCCAGTTTGGTTAGTTTGTTCTTGCATGGATGATCATATATATATCTTATTTGCTCTCGACGATCCTTTCACGTGCTGCCATGCATAAATAAATAGTTTATCAGATATTAGGGCACTCAACACCAACAAGATGTCGATCGGGTAAGAGTGGAAGATCATATGAAAATAATCAAAAGTATGAACTGCATTGTAACACCCTCCAATATGCAGTTAAGATCGAGCTGACACGCTGCATTATGCATGTGCTGATCAGATCATCCGGAGATTTGATCTGTGATTGCGTATCATGGTCACAGAATTAAGCATTTTTGCTTTGTCAGGTGGACTCACACGCTCACACACAAACTTTAACCAACAGATTAAATTAAATTTCAGCTTGTTGGTCAAGACAGCCCGGAGATGGGCCCTCCCAAAAAAATAGTAACTGAGAAAATCACATGGTATCAGTACGAAGTTTTAGAGGATTTTATTGCCGATTAAAAATTTAAAATAACCTCGTCTATATATTCTTATTCATGTAAGTTGAGTATTGCCCTCTCTCGTAAATTAGGATTGACATACATTATTTTTCTATTACAGGAAGAACGCATATTCGTAACCGCACTAACGCCTCCACGAATGCACCCCTTAACAATATATGCTCAAAGAGAAGAGATAGAAACCTCTCTAGCCTTACTAGAAATCCCATTGTGAAACGGGATGGACCTGTGGCAACTCATTCTCGCTAAAAATATTATGGTTTGTGAGACTGCATCCCATAACATAGTACTTTAGGCATCACGATTTAAAACTCTGGCGGTGGAGCTATACATACACCACAACTCTACTCGAATCTGGTGCTTCCACTAATATGTGAATCTTTTTTTTATTGCTCAAAAACCGCATCATGTATGCACTCACCAAATTTACACATCTATGAATCATGAAAGTGTCTCTTAACACATGCTTAAAGAAATGAAAACTAGTGACAATTCCCTAGCCTCTTACTGATTAAAATCCTATTGAAAGTGTACATCTAGGCTAGTCATAACCCAACCTTACTAAAATTATATTAAAACCGCACCTGCATGTATGTAGTATTTCTAATAACCGGTGGTGGAGCTATGTACCACGACGATGCTTCCACTGACACGTGAAATTTCAAGATTAGTTAGACGCGGAATTATCTCTTCCTTATATTCTGCAGGTGCTTCCACTGACATGTGAAATTTCAAGATGAATGAGACGCGAAGTTATCCCTTCCTCATAATTTGCATGACTCTATCCTATGACTCCTGTCACATCCTCAAACATGGCTAACTTCAAAGGGATTAACCATTCACATGCATAGCATAACTTGTTGGCTACATGCATGCATGAAAGCATGAAGCACCATAATTGGACAGCGCATATGAACAAATCAAGAAAAGAAAACCATCAATCCATTGTATTGCGACCATTCAACAGGGATGGAGGAAGTGAATTAATTCCCAAAGTTGATTGATTGATTGGGCCGTCTTTCCAAACCTGTGGGTAGGTTGCAACCATATTCTTGATTTACTTTTTCTGAAGATTATGTTAGATAAATAAACATGCATGTGCCAGACGTCCAAGGTTATCCATTTTTAATTTCCTTTTAACTTCTATATGTAGTTTCTTTATGGAGAAGGTTATGCTCCAATTGTATATGTTGACTTCATTCCTTACATCAAATTGGATGCTTGATCGTGAAGGTTATTTGGTTGGGAGAGGAGGGTGCATCTGCATTTTTAATATATGTCCTTGAATTAGCATATGTGTTTTGTGCCATTTAATTAACATAAACATATATGTTTTTCCTCCGCAAACACACTACATTACACATGGCTTTTCCTCGGTGTCAGAGACAATATTGCTACAGTATTTAATTCCCAAAAGGGTTTTGATTAAGTGGTTGTTAATTTGGTCGACAGACCAAGGATGCACAAAATGCATAATCTTGTCAAACTTTCTGTGGGGTACGTATGTGCATGCTCGTTACCCACGTAAAAACTCATTTTTATAGTTTATCTTTTACTTGCTAGTACAAAATTTGAAACAAGAAATTAAGTAGAATTAGGATAGGCAAAAAGAAAAAACTCGTTTGTCTGTCCACTTGCATCCCTACTTTTCTACCACTCTTATCTTAAGATATGATTAGCGAAATGATGGCACATATTGTATTAGCTAGGAAAAAATGTCACTTTTTTTAGTGAATGACTTTAGGGTAAAGATGAAAGAGAAAATACTTTTATAGGTGTGGTTGTGAAGTACAAATGAGTTGTCTGGTTAAACTTGTTTAACATGAAGTGTGGCAAGGAGAGGCAATGTTTTGGCATTACCAATTATACTCTGATAGACCTAAGCGCCACTTAGGATAAACACATCTAAAGGCCCCTTTGAATCGCAGGATTGAGAAAACGTAGGAATAGGAAAAACGTAGGATTTTGATAGGAATGTAAGTGTAAAACAGAGGATAACAAAACGCAGGAAAAACACAGGAATGACCGTTTGATTGAACCACAGGAAAAACACAAGAATTGGATGAGAGAGATAGACTCAAAGGAAAGTTAGCAAGAGGTTGAAGCTCTTGCTAAATTTCCTCCAAAATCTCTATAGGATTGTCCATTCCATAGGAATTTCAAAGGATTGGATAGGATTCAATCCTTTGTTTCAAAGGGCTTCATAGGAAATTTTCCTATAGGATTGAAATCCTCTAAAATTCCTATGTTTTTCCCCCAAATAAAAGGGGCCCTAAGTGTATACGACATCGCTAGCTAGTTAATCACTAGGCACTTGAAAATAACTTGTTAGAGCATCATTAAGAGTATCCCAATAATCAATTCCCAAAACAATGTTTTTTGGATCTCATAAACTGAATATAGGAAGTGAGAAAACCTATCTCTCCAACAGAAAGCTTCATTGATTTCCTATAATGAAAAGTAGGCCATCCCTTTAACTACCAATAGAGAAAATTAGTTTTTCTAAGCCGAACTCCTCCCATACGCGCACATCGCGCTATGCCTGCGCGCTCGAGAGAGCTATTGGGAACAAAAATTTGCTCCCTTGAAGTGAGGAACGAGATATGCGGAGTTGGAAACCTGAATTATTGAGAAACAGGTTAGGGATTCTGTTGGATGCAATTTTTAACCAAATTTTCCTAAATATGAGGATAGGGAATAGAATAAGTAAGCTGTTGCCCATGCTTTAGCTTAAAAAGAAATCCCTGGATGACTTAAAACTATTAATGTCAGAATTTTGATAACCCTATGAATTGCCTCACAAACGGCTTACCAGTCATCCCTCATTTGAAACATACTAATTCTTAAAACAGAAACATAAGAAACTATAGAATTATAGTGACTTAGTAAATTGACAAAACGCTCTCCTCACGAGAGAGGGATATACTACACAAAAGAATTTTTTTAAGCCAATCGAAAGGAATATCATAGGACTTTTCGAGTAGCTATTCCTTTGATCCAAAAAACCACACGAAAAAAGTCTTTTAGAAGATTGAATTCCTCCAAAATTTCTCCGAGAACCGAAGGGAGATGGGGGTTTGTTCCGTCACCTCTTTAATTTGCTTTATCCTTACGTACACGATACTCGTTAACTATGTGCATCGATGATACAGAGGCCAGACCTAACGAACAATGGGCGGAACTAAGATTCCATGGTTTCGTTGGATATATATATTTAATGGTGGAGAAATAAATCAGAATCATGTCTGGTCCTCCATGATAATTGCTGCCTGACATGGGACGACATGCCTCAACTTGGGGGCTTGGTTTTCAGCTGCTAGCTGCTAGCAAACGATGTACTCTCTCTGTCCAAAAAAAACTAACTTACGTGAGAATATAATTTCACCTAAGATAATAAATTGGATAAAAGGTTGTCCAGATTCGTCACCTAGATTGTTTTTTAAGACGGGGAAAGTAATATTAGTAGTACTCCCTCCATAAATGCTTATATTTTAGGACGAAGTATTATCCCGCAAATGCATCAGTAGTATAAACTCTCACAAAGTCACATGGATGGGATGGTGATTGTGACAAGTACAGTTATCAGTGCAGGCAAGTGAAGATATATATACAGGAAGAAATGGGATTAAGACAAGAATCAATGTATGTAGATGCTGTTATATTAGTAGTTAATTTCATGTCAGGAATGGTTTCTGCAATGTGCCCACATGTTGTGAAAATACTTGGAGGATATCTCTGATGAATCAACTGTGTCAATCAGCAATTGTATCATATATATGCTCTCCAAGTTTCCTTCGTTTTGAAATTTGAAGGATTTGTCTAGTTGGCGATTTGTGATATGTAAGAATCACAAATTCAGAGTGTATTCAGGCCAACAGACAATCTAAAAGGCACATGATCAAATTTTGAGATGTTAGGTGCAGAAATGGAGATGGTAATATACAATATTTTCGTAAAATAAGATACTAGTACAATGTATTTTTTGTAAAAGCAATGACAAATTCAGTATGATGTGTAGTTGTGTACAGATCCAAGTGTGCTGGAAAGATTAACAGAAAAAAAGAAGAGAGAATTATCCACACTTCTATTGAACTGTTACAGCATTTTGCTAGGATAAATGCACACAACATACAAATTCCATTCCAGGGGTTCCCTCGCCATGCTTTCAATATTCAGGCCTCAGCAATCAAGTCAGGGAGAAGCTTGAACCTGTTCTGCTGCATAACAGAGAAAACTGAATACACATGGACAGGCAAGTATGTGCAAAGAATGAAGAAATTCAACTACAAATTTAACTATGCATTCTTTCTCTTTCTGTAAGGACTGAAATTTTATGATTTTATCCTTGTAGCCAATTGATCAGCAGATCAAGTCAATTTTATGATTTTATCCTTGTAGCCCTTACTACTTGCCAATGAAGTACTGTGCTAAAAGGTCCGCGATAGAGTTTTTTTGGGAATACGCAAGCGGCGCATCTTTGTATTAAGAGGAATAAAGTTTATAAACAACGGATCCGAAAACTGAAAAAAAGAAGGGGACAGGTTACAGGACACAGAATGGAGCTAAAGGCCTAATCTCCGACTAGATTTTGCGACCGTGGAACCAAGCTAGGAAGAGGCAATTCTGGCACCGCTGCATTTACTAAGTGCCATAGTTCCGCCTCGGCAGCCATAACCTTCGCCACTTCGACCCAAGGCTTCTGTTGTTGGTTGAAGACCCTGTTATTCCTCTCCTTCCATATTGATGGAGAATGAAGACTTATTGATGGAAGAAATAAGAGATCAAGAAATAACTACTTTCATTTGCATTATCTGCTAACAACGTCGAATCTAACAGTTGAGAGAAGCCATTATCATTCAGTAAAGACTGAGTTATATTACTTATATAGTTCTAGCGAGATTAATCTCTACAGGGTTGATGAGAATAGAGAACCAACAGCCTGCTATCCGATGGTGACTCCCGGATTATCATTAAAACAAGACAGTACTGTACTAACACCTATTAGTCTATAACAAGCATTAGCATGGCACTAACTTTGTTGAAGGTAGCAGAAGTAATTAATCAATGAGGATACTAGCTCACAAGCTCAGTGGTGAGATCAATCATTAAGGAAATACTACAGAGATACAAGATGAAACTACATGTTCACTTATATGTTATATTTTTGGCGGACAGCCGAAAGATTGGCCGACAAAATTTCATTAAGATTTAGGGAAGATTATTACATGGTTTTGTCATGACATTAAATGTCGAGTTGATGGTGGTTAAATGAAATTTAGACAAGCTAATTGTTTAAGCGCTACCGAAGCTTTTACATGAACAAGATCACTTTTGATTAACCAAAATTAAAGAAAGATATGCTCTCCTGTCTAAAAATTGGCAAACTGATAATCTTCTGACAAACAGGACAAAACTGAAGGCAAGAAAGAATCAATATTATTTGGATATCATTTTCATTCTAAGTTTCTAACTAACAAGTTGCCATTTTGTAAATCATATTCTAATAAAAATCATAAACAAGAAAATCACCTAACATAACTCCAGCATCATGCAAAGCACTTTCTTCTCTGCAAAAACAAACATAAGTTAACTTAGTTGATCACATGAGCTATTTCTTTGGAATCTGCATTGAAGTCATAGCGTAAGAAGTTTTCCCCTTAACATTTCTAGCATAAGATTCTCACCCATCTCTCAACTTCTGATGCTGATTCAGAAAGTCTCCTCCTAAGAATGGACTTTTCTGCTTCACAGCTCTCTAAATCAACATCTGCATAAGATAACAAAATGTCCAGAAATGTGAACACTTCAAATCCGAATTACAAACATCTACATATAAAACTCTGTTTATGCCGGCTCTACACATATGCACTATAAAATATATGGATAAAATATACTGCATATGGATGTGTTGATATAAAAATATAGAGAAACATTGGAAAATGTAACATAGAACAGGTCAAAAAATATATATATCAGAGGCCTTAATCAGGACATGCGTAATAAACATGGCATGATAAAAGCGCTAGACAACTTGCAAGTACGGTATCAGAAATCCGAATATGGTAAGACATTTTGGTGATTGGGCAGAGATCAGAATAATTGAACTAAGAATATGGCATGAATTAATACTACTTCATTATTACGTAAAGGTCAGAACTTTAGATGCTAACATTATAGTTTCTTATCACATGACAGGGTTGCTTTATCAGCGTGGTACACACCTATCTAATCTCTATACATACCCAATGCCAACAATATTCAAATTTCCACCTGCCTGTTCCACTACTAGAGCAAATTCAACATTTGAATGGTACAAACTAAAAGCTTGAAATCTAAAAACATATACATTTTATTAAAAATAAATTCTAAAACGTTGTAAAGATGATCTCATCTCAAGGACATGCATTCTAAGGAAACACATAACACTGTATGTCAAACATTATGTGTTACATAATGCTAAATTGCATTTGGTTTGCATTATAAGATTTTAGAAGCACCAAAAGAGATAAATAGGAGATAAAACAAGAAACGTTTAATTCTTTTCAATTCCTTACCATAATAGTATGTTGACAGAATGCTGATACGCTCAATAGGCTGAAAATAACCAAAAAAAAAATGTTAATGTTTCATTTCATCATTTGTCATGTATGTAATACACTTTGACACGAAGTTCAAGAATATAATAGAAGTGATAAGATTGCGTAAGGGTTCAAGTATTTCTAAAGCCATGCGTGTTCAGTGAGCCTGCTTGGACAAAACACACACTAATGAGGCAAAAAAAAAAGGAATATCTATCTGACCAAAAACTTGAATACATTATTTTAACTACAAACCTTTTACAGAGGATTTGCAGCAGAGAAATCATTATGTGATTTAAGGAAAAACTAAAGGATGTTTTATGCCTACATAAAAGAAAATGCTGTACATTGCAGGTGGACGTATACATACCATTACAAATATGCCTTCTCTACGAGTTGGAAGTTGCTCAAGTTTTCTTAATGTATCATCACCTTTTGTGAGCCTTCCAAATACAGCATACTGAAATTATTATGAATCAATGTTTAATCATTTAAGCACCTGGTATTTAATCATGAACCACTGAAGAAATTGTTGAACACCTGTCCATCAAGGTGTGGTGCATCTCCAAGAAGGATGGAAAAGGAAGAACCACCACTGTTTGGATCAGAGTGCCTTGGAGAAGGGGGGGAAAAGGTGATAGGTGATGTTATATCATTGCAGGCATATGAAAATAAGTGATTTCATAAAAAAATCAAGATAAACGCCAAGGAAATTAGTTCATGATATTTTCTAGGACTACTTTGCCCAATAACTATCGCATTCATTTTGATTTAGACAAATAGACAAATTAACTATGGAATATATAAAGGATCTTCTTCAATACCTATCCTTTTATCAACCTGGTAATCATTGATAAACTTTTGAGGGATTACAGAAGGTACTACATGCTCATGTTGTTTTGGCTATAACCAGAAGGTAGCAAAAGTGATCTGTTAAAACATCAACAATGTATTCACAAATTGACAAAGGAAATACCTTCCCATGGACAGAATCCCCCTGACATGCTTGACAGTACTAAATTCACCAACAACCGATTTCTCTGCTTCCTCTTGCTGCTCATCATTCATGGGGGCAGTTCTACCACCCACAACAGAAGCAACTTGTGCAACAAAACCCTTGTCAACCTGAACCCAGTCATCGACCCTTTACATAATGAAACTGACAAAGTCGTTTAGCAAAAATGAAAGGTTAGCACTAAGAGGTAATTACCCGGAAAAAGTGATTTGTGTTGTAGCACCCAAGCCTCACAAGTTTGTAAATGTGTTCAACTGTCTTAGGAGCAACATGAGGAAAGAAGCCAAACTCAATGTCACCATGAGTTGTCTGCAGATCAAATTGCCTAATCAGAAATAAGAACAGATACTACCAACTTTGGATGCTATAGAACCAATTTTGCCTAGTGTGTATTAGCTGCACCAGGACATTAGCCAAGGCATTTCATAACAAATTGAAAAATAAAATGATGTGATATTATAACACCAATACGAGATATAGAATCTGAAATGGAAGAACATATCCAAAATATTAAGATATCCTGTTATTTTAAATCCTGATTAACGAGATAATTAGCTTCAGCCCTGTCACCGGCTTAAATAATAAAGATGCATACTTCCTCTTCCTCGTAAGTGTTCTTGTTCATTTTTAGGAAATCAGAAGTTTGTAGCAACGAATGCCACATGAGACTGGTTGCCTGATCGGCGTCCTGGCATTCTCCCAATTGCACACTAGGTGGCATACATCTAAATTTTAACCTAATCCTAGTAAAATCTCGCAATAAGCATAGGAACGGACAGTTCAACACTGCCTGCGCATGAGGATTGACACCTTGTACCCCTTGTTTTGCAACATCTAATTGCAACACAACTCTTAAATTTCCAACACAGCACTAAACCGATTCTCCAACAGTCGGACGAATCTGGCGAACAGCAAGAGCAACGGCGTCGGAATTCAGCGTAGATCTTCACTCACAACTCACAATTCCGAAATCTTTGATGAGCCTACGAATCTGACCGTGCCAAAATCCGACTTTTGGCCCCGTTTTCTCCATGAACCCCGGTAAAAACCGCTCCTTTCCTCCCTGATTTAGAACAGCAACTCGGGAAAATGAGGGAGATCGTGGCGAACCTGGAAGACGACGCGGGCGGATCCGAGGTTTGGGTCCGAGGCGTAGAAGCTGGTGGCGCCGTCGGTGGAGGCGGCCGCCGCGATGAGGAGGACCACGGCCGCCGCCGCCGCCGCGGCGTGGCGGAGCAAAGCCGCCATTTTTTTCTTCCCAGTTCCCACCTCCTCTCTCTCTCTCCTCTGGTTTAGCTGCAATTGTGTATACTGCAGAACTGAGGAGAGACACAAAGACAAGTGATTTTTTTTAAAAAAAAATGGTTATCCACAATTTCACAATTTTTGGCAATCTTTTTACATCTCAGTTCCCTTTCTTCCCATCACAACCCAAACCTCCAGGACAGCCGCCAATAGGTAGGGAGAATAGTGTTGGCTGACGGGGAAAAGCTCGACGGCGGAGGCCGCTGGCCGACGTGGCTCCCAACAATCTGGAGCGCGTGCGCGGTGCGGCCTGGTCCTACCTGTAATGGCAATGTCATCTTTACCTACGCGCATGAGGGCTGGGGCTTCCGCCTTGTCACCTTGGGCAAGCTCCTATCCCGGCCCCCAAGCTCAAAGCCACCCCCGCCGAGCTGCTCAAAAACCGATGTGTTCAGATATCCCTGAGCTCTGCCTCTCCTTCATGGAGGAGCACTGGTGGCTCTACCGCATCGTCTTTAAGGTCAATTCCATCTTCGCGCCGCCTTCCACTATCAAGCTTCTCGACAGCTGCAAGCCTTCTCCCCGCCCATCGCTAGTTGTCGTCGTCAGGGTTCTACCTACCGCCGCTGCCCAACGGCCGCTGCCCTTCTCCCTATCGGTCGCCAGCCACCGCACACCTCTTCCGTGACTCAACATCCAATGTCCTCTTCATGCGCACGGACGCTCATGGAGCCAGTGGTGCTCGGGATCGTGCTCAGGCATCACAATGTACTCCATCTCCTGTCTCTTGGAGATCTTCTCGCCAATCCCAATGGTGTGGCTGACACGCGACCCTGACCGAGAGAGGGAAGAGCGCGTGCGCTACGTGGATCCGGTCTGCGGCGGCGTGCGGAGGAAGAGATGCGACATGAGCCATTGGATCTCATGATCGTACGATTTAGTATTGCGTGTATATGTCAGGGTTGGAGTCACCGTCACCACTATGCTTTTTTTTAATTATATTAGTAAGTATATATTATTCCTTCCGTCCCATTTTAAGTACAGTTGTGGTTTTTTTTCCAACGTTTGACCGTCTGTATTATTTAATTTTTTTATGATTAGTATTTTTATTATTTTAGATGATAAAACATGAATACTTATTTTCTTAAGTTTTTCATAAAATTTTCAAATAAAACAGATGGTCAAACGTTGAACACTTCAACGTAAACTCACAAAATAGGATGGAGGAAGTATGTGCTAATTTACCGTTCTGATTTACTTGTCGAGGGAAAAGGTTCCCAACACCCTTAGCTTCAAACTCACCCGAGTTCTTCTCCCTCCATCCAAGCTCAAGCTAATTAGCCAAACATTGAATTCAACATGAACTCGGGTTCCAATAACAAGTTGGAAAACTGTCCTAAAATTCCAACTGATGTTTTTGCAAGGCATTCTTCCATGGGCCCTTGGAGCCCAACGGGCCGAGCCGGCCCAAATCCTTCTCTCTTAAAGCCGAACCTGATCTCGTCACTCATTGAAACTAGCAGCTCTTCACCGTCAGCAACAACAGCATATCATTCATTATTTTTGTCTTATTTTTCTCCTCTTTTTTTGCAGTGAAATTAAAGCTTCTCGATTTCGTCTTCTTTTTGGCCATCTCTCCTTTGGCCTTTTGGCAACCTAGGTAGCCTCTCGATCGATCGTCATGGCGTAGAAATCATTTCCATGTGTTGTACACGGTGCATCATTTGTCTGCACTCGCGGTAGAGTACACACGTACATACGTATACATGTATTTTATGTTTGTATGTATGTATTGTGTATACCTCCTTTTGGTTTTTGGTCAAAATTAAATGATTTGTTTGTACGTCCTTGCACAAAAAATAAAGCCATTCACGTACCTGACATGCATATTCTTCCTAGTATGATGATGTGTGTACGTGTATATATGCTTTAACTTTGGAGAAGAAATATTTGTAACGAATTTTAGTTTTAAAAAAACTATGGGTTTGTTTAGTTTGGAGGTAATTTTTACCCTACTAAAATTTGGTTACTTAGTAAGTCTTGACACTATCAAATTTGATTGTAGCATATAATTTGAACTAGTATGAACAAACATTGGTAGCAAACCAAATATTTGTTTGATTTTAGATAATGGAATAGAATATCCCCGTCTTTGCTCAACGACAGCAAGCATATCATTTTGCTTAATATTCGTTTGATACTACTGAAGTTGCCGAAATTTTATTCATGCAGAAATTGGCTCCAAAACCAAACATGCCTTACATATCTTGCGGATTTTCAAGCGTAACTTGGCGTGCAGATAATTTTTATAATTAAGTTCAATTAGATTTGATATACACTCTTGCTTGTGTGTTCTCTACAAGTACATTTTATTTTGTAATATAATAACTATATACATAATTAATCATCATCGTTCAGCGTCAAATAAGTTGATTCTTTGTGTGCCTTTCTGTATGTTTTTATCAGCCTCATCTTTTTATTATGCTTATACTTATTAGCTAAAATTTAAATTTTTAATCTAAAATTTAAAGTTGATTTTAGGGTTTTTCATCGTAGTTTATTTTTTAGCATTTGTTTTTAGATCGTTAAGAAAATGAATATAAAAATTTTATTCACAAATTATTTTTCATTTTTCATTTACAGATATGTTGTTTTGCTTTTTTTTTCTCCAATATGCCAAACAATGGGACTATATACAGATATGTAAGCGGGCCGACCCACAAATCTACTTATTTGTCAATAAGTGGTAATCCGCGGGTTTTCACGTCATAGTCTGGCTTGCCGCACCTAGAGATATAAGTGGGTCGATCCATAAACTCATTTATAGATCAAATTAGTAGGTAACCCACGGGCTATCCACTAATTTTGCCTATAAGCAGCTTAGCCTGCTTACAGCCTGTATATTTTTATTGATTGATTTTGCATGTATATATGAATGCATGGTATATGATGCATGAGCACAAATGTATATGGTTGCAATGCATGGTCAGATAATCTATGTCATGTAGCATGATGATGTACACGTATGTACTTTTGGGGCTACCCTCTGTGGTCCACGGTATGACGAATGCAGAAGTCCAGAAAACGAAAAATGGACGCTTAAATTAGTACGTTACACAAGTATATACCAAAAAATGCATGTTTGCATTGTGTGAAGGAATTTCAGACTTTTTTCAGGGTGAAATGATATATCAATATATGTGTTCAGTCATATGCCTGGTCCCAAAATTGGAAAACTAAATATTTTACCATGCCTAGCTAGGCTTCTTCACTTGTTAATTTGTTTGTTTGTGCAAGTGCACTCCAATCATCAGCAGTGCATGCCTTCATAATTAATTTACAGTCTAGATTGCATGCATTGCTAGCTACTTTCTGGTTTCAGATTGATATGTAAAGCTGCATTATATAATCCTGTTATGTGAATACATCATCTGTGGTGTGCATGTTTACATTTGGGGCCACTTCATATAAAGTCCATGATGATGTGACCAAATGGAACACTCCAAATAGGGGAAAAGGGTGGTTATAGGCTATACGGCCAGCAATTTTGGAAGGAAATAAATGTAAACCATAATTGTTTAACAAAGGCCTCTTAGAGGAAAACACTTTTGCTACATCCTCACACATGTCGACGTTGAAAGAACATCCTAAATTTTCATTAAATGTCCAAGAACTTCGATGTGACAACGCGCATAAGAAAAGGAAAAGGGGAAAGGTAATCTAGTTCCTCCGCGTCGTCGATCAAATTTTTCGTGAGTACATGATGCAGTGTAAACCTATAGCCCTTTATAAATGGACAAATTATTCCTTCTCTCACCCTCTCTCACCATATGAATTGAGCATCCATAATAATGCAACAAAAAAGCTACTGACCAACTGTTTTTGGAATTTCTTGGACACTGGAGGGATAGGATCAATTTGGCCACTTTTTCCCCAGAGGCATTTGTGCCCTTGCTTGTGTGGGCCCCCAGCTGCTTGCACACCTTGCATCATGCATCCTTTCACCATTTGAAACCCATGAGCATTTTGGCATGCTTTGAGGTGTTCTTGGTCTCTAAGCAATCTCCCTTTTTTTTTCCTCTTTACTTGCCTTGCCAAACTACAAGGCCTACTCTTCTTCTCTCTTAGTTACATGGAAAAGACAGGCCAGGGGGTGCCTAGGCTATTAGGTGTGTGCCTTGTGCACTCTATGGTCCTTAGTTGTCATGACCCCAAGAATGGGCTCAAAAGACTTTAGGGAGAAAAAAGGTGCCATGGAGTGTAGTACTAGCTACTTGTACGTTGTTTTTAGTGGGATCAAGCCTCTTTAATTTTATTTTTTTCCGAAATGGAGTGGCAGCATGCTGCGTGTATCAACAAATTTGAAAGCAAAAATAATGTCCTTATTTGTGAAACTTAATTTTCACTTAAGAGTAGTACATACGTAAGACATGTTCAAGATATATATAGGAATAATAAAATTAAAAATCTTGTAAATATAATGGCACACAACGTTATCTTAAAAAAAATGCTCCAACACTTGAATAAGAAAGAGAAAAAAAATATGTTTAAAACTTATCTAGAAAAGCAAAGAAAGGGTGAGTCAGATCAAATGCGGGTATAACTCACGAAATTGTAAAAATCTGTGTGTGTGTGTGTGTGTGAGAGAGAGAGAGGCAGATACAAAGAGAGAGATATAGATTTGGAACTATCCATGAAAATTTTCATGATCTCACCTCATTTTCGATTTCCACCAAACCATATATAGGGGAAAATAACCAAAAGAGAATGAGGAAACATTTCTCCATTTTCTTTTACTGAAAGTATTATAGGGGAGGCTCTCATCGTCAAATTTATTAAAAGATGTTATATGTGTGTGCATGTATTCTAGTGACGGTTAGTTAAAAAAAATTATGTACAAAGATTACAACAATATTCCTCCATTTCGAATATTAAAGAAAATATTTTGTTTGGATTAATACATGCAATTCTCCCTTTTCTTTTCTCATTTTTCCTTTGATCCAAACTGGTTCTAATGAAGTATTACTTAATAATATTTTTAGGAGAGTACTAGCTACTTAATATTAGCCATTTTTTAGG